TATATAAAAATGTCTCATAATTTGTGCAAAAGGCTGTACTGTAAATATACTGCAAATATACTGTAAATATACTGCATATACTCCTTTTACGAAGTTGTAAATTTTATGTACATACTGTAAATACCTTGTAAATTTTGCTTGATCAAACATTGTAAATATCTTGTAAAATCAACTTACAAAGTTTGTAAAAGGACATTTTTCTGTAAATTGTAATTTGCAGACTTCTTTTCCAGTTTATATGGTATAATATAGTAAGTTAAAATGTGTAATTAGTCATCATATTTCATCTATTGTCTTTCCAGTCTCGGTGAAGTATCTCTAGACGTCGCTTTGAATCAGCCAACAGGCATGTCGCGTGCCGTACGGGTTGAGAAGTGCGCATGCCCCAAGGGGTACTCTGGACTTTCGTGCGAAGTGAGTAGATAAAATGATATTTTCTGATTAGATGGATCAAGAAAACACTCACCGTCAATCAGTCAATCAAAACGAGTATTTCATATAGGTAAAACTTAAGAAAAGCGCGGAAAAAAGCAATATATACTCACACCAATGTTTAATCGACTCTTTTAAATCTCCTTTTCTATGTCCTCTAGGCGTGTAGCAGTGGGTACTATCGATCAAATAGAGAGAGATTGATCGGAACCTGTTCAAAATGYTTCTGCAATGGTCATTCTGAAGACTGCGACCCTAACACTGGAATATGCCAGGTATAATACACCTTATTGAAGTGTTCGAAATGATTGAACGTAGAAGCYGAGACCGAAAGGCTACATTTTTTTGTCTATGACAATAGTCTCCTTCACGGTTACCTGCGCCATCTTGAAAGGTAGCCGTGCCTTTGCATCGAAGCGAGACGACCGTTGAGCGTGCAATGATAGAAACCTTCTTTCACACCTACAGACAATTATTCACAGGTTTATATCATTGCACGCTCAACGGTTGTCTCGCTTCGATGTAAAGGCACGGCTACCTTTCAAGATGGMGMAGGTAACCGTGAAGGAGACTATTATGAGGACTACAACTACCATTATACTTTTCTCTTTGCTTCCTAATCGAAATGGACTTTCTTTACAGAACTGCTTGCATAACACGTTTGGTGATCACTGCGAAAAGTGCAAACCTGGTTTCTTTGGAGACGCAAGCGTTGGAACTCCTTTGGATTGCCGTCAGTGCGCATGCCCAAAGATAAACCCACCAAACAGGTATAGTTGCAGCTTAGACGATCTTTTGTAATATCTCTAATATCTGAACAGAAAGATTTCTGGTTACTCTTTTCTAGGTTCAGTAAAACATGTTTCTTGGATCAAGATGGCTACCACACTTGTGACGCATGCCCAGTAGGTTACACAGGTCGTCGATGCGAAAGGTGATATACTTCATATTTAATTTGGGGTCCCTTTCTCGTCTTTGACCGTGAGGGACTGCATTTATGATACCTATTCCTTTCGCATCCGAATGAGACAAAAAGAGATCCTTATTTTTGCTGGCCTTGCAATGACGAATGGCAATTGTCGACCGAATGACAATGATGAGTCAAGGTTTTGCTAATTGATGGGGGAAAATGACTGATCCATACTGTAAGATGGTCTGGCTCTTCTTAGTCTCCATTTTTAGAGGGTCTCAATGGGGTGGTACGCATCACGACTCACGGCTAAAAATTTGGCGATTTCACGACTCACGACTAATTTTTTCTAATCACGGTTAACTAGATTACTTTTAGACATTTTTGAATTACGTTTTTCATTGCTTTTTTTTCGTATGAATAGACTGCGTGACTTATTCGTACGTACATGGATTTTTCTATTTCAAATAAGCCGAAATGTGACTATTTCCACGAAAAAATGATTAATCATC